TCGATACGTACTTACTGCACGTATTTTTACGATAGCAAATTGTATTTTTACAATTTTGACAATTTTTTCTATGAAACTTTTTCTGTAAACCTTCCTACTGTTTTTCACAGTGAAGGCTAGGCAGGTTCTTGCGAACAATCGGTATGCATAAGCTAACTAAGAATTAGGTTGTAGTACAACGCTCCATTGCGAACTTTTTGTTCGTAAGCAATATGTACGTACAGTACAGTGAGGCTCCAACACTCCCACGCGTCTCTGTGCCCCCGTTTCCTGGAACGGGTGGAACGCCCCTGCGGCCGGCCCCGGCCGATTTGTTTGCGTTTTAGGCGAAGCACCTCTCCGACTATGGTACTATGGGGGCTTCTTCGGGATGCTTGGGATCTTCCCTTCTGCATGGAATCTTTACCATTTCGACGAGTGATTAGTTGCTCTCTCCCTCTCGAGGCGTTTTTGCCCTCTGGATTTCACTCCTACTCTGGAGTCGTTTCCTCTCTCGCAGCTATAGTCTTCCACTCAGTGAATGGGAAAAATAAACAGAGAGGTGTGATTTTTACGTAGAGTATGTGTGTGGTTTCATTACTTCGAATGTGTGCAAAATCACAATGTCACAATCACACTCTGGTCGGAAACTGCCTTTAGAGCACCGAACGCGAAGGCGGTTTTCGTTCGGTCGGAGAGCAGCCTGGCCTGGACCCCGCGAGGGAGAGCTCCGCTCTCTGCTGGACACTCGGTCATTTGCACACACTGTGCACCGCTGCACCGGATGCTATCCGGGCGCTTGTTCTTCTCCCCCTCCTCTCTCCATCGGCTGGGTGGGGCGCGGCGGGGCGCGGCGTGGCGGGGCGCGGTGGGGCGCGGCGGGGCGAGGCGGCTGCCGGGCGCGCTCGCGCTGCGCTCAGTCAGGTACTGGCGCCCGGCGTTGACGCACCACTCCGCACGACGCCGACGACGCCGACGACGACGCCGCGACGCCGACGCCGCGCCGACTCGCGCTCCGCTGCCGCCAGCGCACCACCAGCCCACCGCGCC